TTGGCTGAGTTTACAAAATACTAAACAAAAATCACAGCAATAGCTGGCATTCTTCATACAATTTAAATAAAACAAGAACACTTCTGGTTCTGAACAATGACTCAGCTACTTAAAACAAAATTGAAAATTCCAAGTCAAACAAAATATAGCAACCCAACCATCCATCCATCCATCCATCCATCCATCCATTATCTTTACCCGCTTGTTCCATTTTGGGTCACGGGGGTCGCTGGTGCCCATGTCCAGCAATCACTGTGCGAGGGGCGGGGTACACCCTGGATGGGTCGCAAGTCCATCACAGGGCCACATAGAGACAAACGAGACAAACAACCATTCACTCTCTCACTCACACCTAGGGACAATTTAGAGTTACCAATCAGCCTTACATGCATGTTTTTGGTCTGTGGGAGGAAACCGGAGTACCCAGAGAAAACCCACGCATGCACGGAGAGAACATGCAAACTCCACCCAGAAAGGCCCCTGGACCGGGGGTTTGAACCAAGGACCTGCTCGCTGAGAGGCAGCAGCTCTACCAGTTGCGCCACCGTGCTGCCCTGAAACCCAACCAACAATGGTCAAACTAACAAGTCGCTCCACAATGAGAATGAAATCTCCAACCAGACAAATGTGTCTTTGCTACACAGGCCACAGTCTTTCAGAACCAATAAGACAAAGCAAGACACAGTCTGAAACAATTTGTCTGCACCACCAAAAGTTGGCATACTGCACACTAAGCACAGCAGCACTGATTGAAGGGCAGGGCTGACTTTTATGATCTTCCTCCTCCTGGCCTCTTCATTGGCAGTCGCTGGTGGATGGGTGGTGCTGTCCAAACCTCCTTTGGCCAATCATCTTTGGACAGGTGAGTCTTGAGGGCTTGGTCAAAAGTTCACCAGTAGAGAGAGGCAACGAGCCAGCAGCAACCAGGCATTACAGAAAAGAAAACTGCAAAACTACAAAAGAAGAAAGGCAGTACAGGCCTGAGGCCGTAACAGCGGGGCATTAAAACACAGACAGTCAGGAGGTAAAAGTTCCACCAAGGTGCTTGAATCACCCAAAGGCAACCAGGATTCCGTGAGATAAAGAAAATCCTGTCCCTCGTCTTTAAAAAAGTCATTTAGGATAAAAGTCTTGTTGGCAACAGACCTTGTGTTGATGAGGCACGTCCTGATCTGGTCCGACACAGAACCAGCCATGGTGGGGGTGGTGCGCGCCAACGGTTGCAGATTTTTAAAAACAGCGCCTCCAGGACGGTCCAAGCGCCGGGCCGGTAGACAACACCCATATTTTCCCTGGTCCGGGCATGTAGGAAGCTGGCTGTGGAAACGTTGACCACGCAGAGCTTTGAGTTTTACCAGCCGGCCGGCACGTTTTCCCCGGCGTTTGAAGCGATATCTCTGAGAAGGCAGGCTTGGGGCCCAGCGTAAACAAGCAGGCACGTCTGCCAGAAAGGGTGGAAGGGGGGGGGGGGGGGTCCCGAGTCACGATCAAAATGGTCCGAATCTGCGACAGCAGATACAGACAATCGAAGATGGAGGAGCTGTTGTCGGTCATACACAAGCAGCGAGTTGATATCCCAGACAAAAAACGAAAAAAGCAGAAATAATCCAAACAGTATCATCAGAGGTAGATTGTAGGCCATGTACACGGGCGCCATCTTACCGGATGTGTCCCCTGAACATGGAAAGGCTGAAGACTTGGGTCCAACTGCAAATCTACCAAGACATGGTCATCCAGCTAACCTGACAGACCGGCCACGGAGAGCCTTAAGCTCAGAATTAATCAGAGTAACTCTGGAGGACCTGCAGAGATCTGCAGCTCAGGTGGGATAATCTGGCCATAGGCAAAATATTACTTGTGCCCTCCACAAATCTTGCCTTTGTAGATGAGAAGAAGCTATTGTCAAGAAAATATAAAATCCCAATAAAATATTTAGAAGTTTGTGGTCGTGACGTGACTAAAATATGAAAAAGTTAAAGGGGTACGAGTACTTTTTTTTAATCAATCAATCAATCAATCAAACTTTATTTATAGAGCCCTTTCCAGCAGCCAAAAGGTGCACAAAGTGCTGCACAGTACAGAAGTTAAAAACAAACAAGAATAAAAAAATCAGTCAGTTAAAAACAAAAACAATTACAATTAAAACATAGCAAAATTGTCAAAGACCTACTAGGTATTAAAAGCCTCCCTGAATAAAAAGGTTTTAAGATTAGATTTAAAATGCTCCATGTCAGTGATGGTGCGCAAGTCCTGAGGTAGCTGGTTCCAGAGTCTGGGTGCGACAACCGAAAAGGCCCGGTCACCCCCATCGTTTGTAGTTGGATTTTGGGACAGAGAGTAGAAATGTATTAGAAGATCTCAGTGTTCTCCTATATTCACGGACAGCTACAAGATTAGACAAATATAGTGGGGCAAGACCATTGAGAGCTTTAAAAGTGAATAATAAAATTTTAAATTTAATTCTAAAATCGACTGGAAGCCAGTGGAGAGAAAATAAAACAGAGGTGATGTGCTCACGTCTGGAGGTGTTGGTTAAAAGTCGAGCTGCAGCATTTTGGACCAATTGCAGGCGTCTAATGGAGGGTTGGGAGATTCTTGCATATAGGGAATTGCAGTAGTCGAGCCTTGAAGTTATAAAAGCATGGATGGCCTTTTCCAAGTCAGAACGATTTAAAAAAGGCTTAACTTTGGATAAAAGACGTAACTGATAAAAACAGGCCTTGACTACAGAGGATATTTGTTTGTCAAACTTTAAGTCCTTATCAAATGTCACTCCCAAGTTTTTAACTGTGGATCTGAACTTGGATGTCAGAGCACCAAAGTTACAGGGAGCATCATCACCAAAGAAAATGCATTCTGTCTTTCCTTCGTTTAAAAACAAAAAAATAAGATGAAGCCACTGTTAAATGTCGGCAATACAATCAACGAAAGGTGTGAGAAGGTTACTGTTTTTAGGTTTCATTGGTAAATAAATTTGTACATCATCAGCATAGCAGTGAAAAGAAAAATTATGTTTGGCTATCACTGATCCAAGGGGCAGCATGTACAATGAGAAGAGGACAGGACCAAGAATAGAACCTTGTGGCACACCACGAGAGAGGGGCAGTGGAGGAAGACAGATTATTCAGCATGACAGAGAACGTTCTGTTGGTCAAATAAGCAGTGAACCACTTGAGAGCTGTACCAGAAATTCCAACGTAATGTTGGAGACGAGACAACAGGACAGCGTGGTCCACTGTATCAAACGCAGCTGTAAGGTCCAGCAGCACCAGAGCAACGGGACACTTGACATCCATGGACATGGAAATGTCATTATGGACTTTTAACAGGGCTGATTCGGTAGAATGACGGGTTCTAAATCCAGACTGAAATGTTTCATAGATACCATGGTTTTCTAAAACAGGTTGTAACTGCATAAAAACAACTTTTTCTAAGACTTTAGCTAAAAAAGGCAGATGAGAAATAGGTCTAAAATTTGATAAAAGTGATGGGTCAAGGTGAGGTTTTTTAAGAAGGGGCCTAACCACAGAGAAAGACTGTTACCCGATGCTTTCATATCTGACAGTGGTCTGCTTTAACAGACGGACTCTTTCTGTATTTATTGCTTTCATTTGAAACATTTGTTTTACATTCCAGGGTAAAATAATGGGGTTATCGCTAATGGGTTTTTGTTCGATGATCCAGGTTAAAAATTTCAGATAATTTGGTGAATCCCCTCCGGCGGCCTGACTTCTGTGCTGCTTTGTGTCACCTGTCCTATTTTAGAGTTTACTTCTGATTAGCTGTAGCCTTGTCTGTGCTGTCCCACAGCAGCTGGGATCAGTTAATTATTAGGTCATTGTACAGATGGGTATGACTGTCAGCCCTCTGGAAAAGCACCAGCAAGCAACATAATAAATGGAGAGGGGAGGCAAAGATGAGGGGAGTGGAAGGTAGTGCCACTGAAAACTTCTAGAATAGGTTGTTTTCCAGCACAGGTCAATAAGCATAACAGAAATTATACATACATATAGACAGACTGTTTGTTTGTTGAGTAAAATTAGAGCTGATTATTATCAGATGTAACTTACTGCAACTTGAAATTTTTTGGTAAATATTTAACTACAATAGTGCAATCTAATTTTTTAGTTTCAAAAATTTCTGTCGTGCCATTTTTCTCTCATTTTGTCTTGCCTCTTGAGTGAGACCCAAACCCGTCCTCATTATGGGATATGTGTGTATTTTTTTTTTGTGTGTGTGTGTGTGTGGGGGGGGGGGGGGGGGCAGAAATTTGCAGCAGGCATTTAAAACTTAACACATTAAAAAAAAAAATTTGTACATATATAGGCCGCACTTGTCTCTAAGCCGCGGGTGTCCAGGTTGTAACATGAGATGTTTACACTGACTTTTAATTAAATACTGTAACATGGCAGCACACAGCTACTGAGAGAGATGTGCAGCTCTTGTTGTAGATCAAGAATCAACCACCAGATGGCATTTTATAGACTTTATCTGTCTTCAACACACACAGACAGAGATGAAACCCACAGGTCTTGTCAACTACTGTACCTCCCTCACTCATGGTTACTATACTGAATGGCCTAACACAAACTAACAGGTAATGAACACATAAACTAAGCTAACAAGAACAGACTAATCACCAAAAGAACAATCCTAAACAGCTAACCAAAATTATTAACATTGAACATAAATGTTACCCATAATTCCTCCCTGAGGCCATGTGACCATTGGTCGTCCTGCTCCACAGAACAAAAGTTGCTCTGCGCATGCAGGGGAATCTCTCTCTCATGCTTGTGAAGAATCAGATATTTTGTTATTAAAGTTTATTTACTCCATGTTGGAGCAACTGAAAACTGCAGCTGAACTTTAGAGAGAAAAAAGCTGCTGTGTTTTGCTGTACTGTAATGATTTATGGATTAGGGTGGTTGGAGATCAATGACTATAAACTGGATCAGCACCCAGAAGGACTTTTTTTTTAACACCACATAACTATCTTCCAGCACTGGTTCACAGAACTGCCTCCAGTGTTGACCTTCGAGCTCTCACGGTTTGAGTTTAACCAAGCTCTCGGTCGACCTGAGAAGATCCACAACAAGCTTGAGTTCTCCTCTATGCTCTACATGGACAGGTGATGGAAGTTCAGCACTGGTTGACATTAAATAATTTGTTGGACTCTGCTAAGTAACATGGTGTTAGAGTGAAAGTTATGCTGTTTTTGTCTTACAGGTATATGGACAGAAACAGGGAAATAACCAGAATCAAGAGGGAGGAGATCAGAAGGCTGAAAGAGCATCTGACACTGCTCCAGCAGCGACTGGAGAGGTACGCCTTGTCTACAAATCATGCTGATCCAAACCAAAGTTAGATCGCTCAAGAAAATCATGGGGAAACATTTCTCAACCAGACTGCACCTTTCCTCAAACATTTTATCCTCTCCCCTTTTTTTTATATTTTTTTTCCATATTTATTATACAAGGTCATTCTTGTTTCCTTTCAGGTACCTGAGTTATGGCTCAGGCCCCAAGAGGTTTCCTCTGGCCGATGTCCTCCAGTATGCCATGGAGTTTGCCTCCAGCAAACCTGTTTGTACTTCACCAGTGGAAGATATTGACACATCAGCACCACCTGGTGGCACAACAGGACAGCAGTTACCACCACCAAGGCATGTTAACTCTGAACTTCTGGGGCCTCATGTATGAACAAGTGTGTTGCTTTTGTACTGCAATTTATGTAGAGACAAAATGTGAGAAGTGTGTATGCACAACATTATTCAGATTTATCAAACCATGCATGTACACCTTTCCTTCATATATCACAATCTACATGGAACTGAAAGCACATGACACTTCCCTTGACCCACATGTATTTAGAAAGAAAGAAAGTGCTATGTATTGTCATATGTGACCATACAGTGGCGACATTTATTCTCTGCATTTGACCCATAACATGTGAGATTTGCACAAGTGGAGAACTGGGTAGTTATTTAATCACCAGGGGAGTAGGTAGGTAATAGGTGTCTTGTTCAAGGACATCACAACAAATGGGTATAGTGGGGAATGGAACCTGTGGTGTTCCAGTTCAATACAATTCAATTCAGTTTATTTATATAGTGCCAAATCACAACAAAGTTGTCCCAGGGCACTTTACAGGAACATTCACATATCTAAAAAAGTTAAATCTGGTCCTCTGGACATTCAAAAAAACAAAACAAAGCAAATCAACAAAAAAATGTAGAAACGTTTCGTCTCTCATCCGAGAGACTTCCTCAGTCTGAGGTGCTGTATTCAGCTCAGTCTCTTAAATAGCACCTTCTTAGAGTGGATCAACCAGTTTTGCTGCTGACAACCAAAACCAGCTGATCACATGCTCAAGAAGGACCATCAGCCTAACAATGAATCATTAGCACCTGATGGCTGTTTACTGTTCACAGAGGGCTGAGTGATACTAGCAATCACAGCATTGTAAGAGGGGGACAGTTGAACCCGGAGGCTCCACCCCTGTTTAACGATGGACTGTTTCTTTTCACAAAGATGGCCTCCTTTACTCCTCTCTCAAACCATCGTTCCTCTCTGTCCAGGATGTGAACATCTTCATCCCTGAAAGAGTGACCGCTGGCCTGGAGATGATGATCTTCACATCCTGGACAGAGAGGAACGATGGTTTGAGAGAGGAGTAAAG